TCAAGCCCCAGACAGCCTAAGGCCGCTCCTTTTTTGTTGCATCGCATGGCACCTGGAGCTGGTCTCCTTTCCTTATCAACGCCTCGGAAGCCAGAGGATGTTTTGGCGGAGGACTCGGGTTGGCCGAAGTTGCGGTGAAGATGCGAACGAAGACGTGAAGGTTCGTTGCCCGCCGCTACGCCGAGTCTACGCTCTGCATGTTCACTTCTTCCCCGGGTACTCCACTCTCGGACTTTCGAACTCCACACGAGTCACAAGAAGGATTATTTACATAAATTCAACGTTTCGATCGACCTCTCCGATTGTGCCAACCTGCTGCAACTGAAACCTGCCCCCACCGCTGCTGCCGCTGTTGCTGTCCCCCCCACCCGTCCCCCTCAGGACGATGTGCCCGCAGATGAGCCCGCGGAGCCTTCGCCCAAGACACCGCGCTGTTCCTTCAATACCTTGAGCTCCGACTTGCCGAAGGGAACTCCTATCCCACCCAACTTCAGGACGGAATGCGGCACTTTCTTGGGGCGAGCACAGGGAGGACTTGCAGCAGATTTGGAGGCGTTGGGAGTTCCGGGTGCGACCCTCGCTCCCTTGGGGTTCAGCAGCGAGGAGTGTCCGGTTTTTCCCGTGCCATCCAAATGGGTCTGGGTTCATGGCACCACGAGACCTGTGTCTCCAGGGCACTGTCCCGGAACCCAAACACGCCGGGGGTTTGGCGTCGAGCTCGCTCGATGGGACGGGTCGGCGAACTCCCAAAAACACCGACCTGGGTGCGTCCTTCCGCTGTACCCATCCGGGTCTGCAGTTTCGATCCACCGGGACGGCACGGTGCCTCCAGGACGCACGCTCGACATGTGATGAAATTCCAGCAGTTCTTGGAGGACTTGGGTGCGGTTTGGTGTATGTACTCATGACATGAGGAAGATTCGAATTACTGGCCTCTTATTGCAATAGGGAGAGCCTCAACCAACGGGAACAGACAGGATGATGTTCGCACAGTGTTTGCTACGAAACATCCGCTCACCAGTGGTTGATACACTTAACAGCCACGATACCCATCGTAGCATACGGCGAGGTGCAAGGTGTTTGGAAGACGTTCGCTTTGACAGCTGTTCACAAGTCATGTTCCCCCAACCAAGGGGTTTTGGATGGTTTTGGTATGTTTTTACTTTTCCCATTTAGGGGGTTCTCCCAATTCTTATAACTAATAACAGGATGCAATACATTACTTTGTTCCCACAAGTATCCTTTCGACACAGATCAACGATGTGATATCCCTTTCCAGCACCAATCTGCAGCATGGTACCGTTTCCCTGCGATCAGGTTTGGGGCCGCGCCTGTACTCGCCGGACACATGTCCATGGCAAGACCTTGGTGGTGGTCACGAAAAGACATCCCCCAAATTGGCTGTTGACACGAGCTACTGCACAAGCAGCTTGTACAATGTGAGAGTTCGCATGCGTTGGTCCTGAAAACACCCGAATTCGCCCCCCCCCTTGGCCTTCGGCCCAAAAACCCAACGGGGCGGATTGACCTCACGGAACAAAGACGCGACCGACATCCGGTGACGTTGAAGTCTCCTTCCTCTCTGGGGGGGTGAACGCACAATTTTTGCATTTTCAAATTGGACATTGCTGACAAATATGTTTGATTTCATTTTATGCAAATGTTAATTTTTTTTGTATATCAGTTTATTAATCAATTTTCTAAATGCTGTTTTGTAGCAAGGGGTAAATTGGGTCTTGAGATATCACCTCATAATCTCTCTACTGTAAATAAATAATTTTGGTAGTTTGACCTGGCAAAAGCTTCCAGCATATCCTTTCTAAGGCTTCACATTCCCTCTCTAGAGTTTCAGATTTTTAATTTATGGTGTGAGCGTTCTAGGTATGAATTGTCTCTTGAATCATATGGGGACAAGTTCATCATTGACATATGCAAATGCACTTTTGTTCCTGTTTTATCATGTTTTCTTATTATACTTATGGTATTTGAACATTGACTTACTGTATTCATTTGATCGTAGACCACACTTCCACTTTCTGTAAATTCCAGAGCAGTCTCTGGTATCAGATGGCAACAACCTCTTGAATGTCTTCAGCATAAATTGCATAAGTGGTTTCTACCGTTGTCATGATATCCTTTACCATAATCTCTTATGTGATAATCTATACGGACATTTTGCTTTTTGACTTTATTGAAGTAATATTTCTAGGTCTTTGTTTTATTCTTCTCCACAACTGTTATATAGGTATCATTTTTATTAGATGCTATATTTTGTCATACTCATGAAGAGGTTGTTTATTCATTTCCTTCTCATTCTTTTGATAGTTGGATTCTAATTTTGTTAATGTTATGCATTGTTTCTAGCAGGGTGTTTGTTAGATATATATATATATATACATAGTTCCATGGACAATTGTCATGCTATTTCAATTATATGTGTTTTTTTCTTTGAAGTTTTGTTTCTTTCTAAATGAATAGATCTTATACTCACCTTACTTTTACTTCTTCTGTCATATTTATGCAATTCCATACTGAGAATCACAGCACACCAAGAACGGTTATACCTACTGTATATAGTGCAACACCAAATGTAGTAAAAGTATTGAGGACAAATATACCAACTGGATCCCATTGTCATATGCTTGAATATGCATTTCGTTGCTCAAACATTCATCATATAGTGTTTGAGGTCTTATTTACCAAAGAAGACACAACTTGCAGATAGAGGAGGATGCACAGGAATGCAAGTTTCCTTTTAAGGTTTGAGCGCCCTTTGCAGTTATATAGTATGCAATGATCAGAAATTATGGGAAAGAGACTGAATTGCAGATGCGACATACTAACAACCGCTCATTCGCAGGTGCGACAAATATGAGAAGGTATATGAATCGCAGATGCGATAGATAGGAAAAGGGGGAGGGGGCAAGAAACCACAAAGACATCGCACAAAAAACAACCCAACAAACACACCAAAAGAACTGAAGAGGCGGTCCAAACAGGGGTCAGAGGGGGGGCCTCAGGAGTCTCAACATAGTGGTATTTGTCTTTTCTTTTTGACGTTTTTCGATCTTTTTTGTTTTCTTGCACCATGCTGGAAAGAGGTCCGGAATATTGGCCTATTTGTTCTTTCAATTGACGGCCCAAAAAGCCGCAGAAGTCCACAGGAACAAAAACCAACAGTTTGGACCCATAGAGAGGTTCTGAGGAGAAGCTGGGCAGGAGACATGGTGTCATACATTCTATTTCTTTTGTTTTTTGTTTTCCATCGTGCTTTTTCTACCTCGCAAGTTCATGGGATCGTCTTGCGCACGCGATCATCACGTGTTCGTCCGCGGTGGGGGCGGTGGGGTGTGTGGTTTCTCCCCGCCGGCTACCGGCCAGGAATTAGAGGAGTCTCCCGGCCAATTGGAGATGTGCGTGGCCCGCGCACGACGCGAGAAGCAAAGGAACTTGGGATGGTTGCGCTAGATAGGCGTTTCACATTCCCAAGTGCCCCAAATCTCTGGGATTTGTCCCAAAATCTCAGAATGGAAGAGAAGAGCCACGTTATTCACTTCTCTGTGAAAGGAACTTCTGGGTCGAACGGCGGACTCTGGGCTAAGACCCGTCCAGAAGTCCCTCTTTTCTGCAAGACACAGCTGGTTGCAACGGACCAGTTCGTCTTGCACCCTGAGTGATCCAGTTAAGCTGGAGAGTGGCAAACCGTCTGATGGAGTCAGGCCGTTTGGCATGCTTTTGGAGCTTCAGTGTTTATCTCTGCGTGCAGCTTGGCATGCTTTTGCCGACAGTTTCTCCCCTCTGGAGGGATGAAACCCATGTCATAGTTCAAGATTTTTCTACATGGACCTAGGTCTCTAAGCAGGCGCAAAATGGCCGGATCTTCTCCCGCCGTCCTGGGGGCCGTGCTGAAGGACGATTGACAGCGGGACAGCTGCCAGCACAGAAACAACATGCAGCTATCCAGTGGAAAAACATGTGTGCACTGTACACATGGATAGGAACATCTAGGAACGCATGGATACCACGGAAGCAATTGAATGCAGACGGGATTCTTCTGCCAGACGCAACGCCACGGGAGTCGCGAGCAGTCGTGTTGAGGCCTTGGCGGCTCGGGAGGCGGGGGACTTGTCGAGGTGTTTGCTGGAAGCTTTTGAAATGGGTCTTAAAAGATTGCCATACAATAATTAGATATAACCAGACATACAGTAATTCGATAGATATATATATATACATACAGTAATACAGTAGACAGTAGACATACAGTAATTAGATATAACTAGATGACCTCCATGAAAGTGGTCTAGAAGCTGAATTGATTGTGTTTGGGGTCCAAAGGTTTTGGTGTTCCCAGTTGCTGCGATTCTGGCTCTCATGGGTCGCATTTGTTCTGGCTCTCCTTATGAAGCCCGAAGTGTTCGCAGCTGGGGGTGAGATACTCGGACCAGCCTCCAACAGTGTTGGTGCTGGTTTGTGATCCTTTGACCCTCCAAGCTTGTTGGTCTTGGCTTTGAGTCTGTTTGCGATTGCGCTGCAAGACATTTGCTTCTCTGGATACCACGTGAGGTGTAATTACTGACAAGACACATGCAAACAACAGAAAAGACACCCAATAGAGCGACTACTGGAAGCACTAGCACCTGCCAGGGCATTGCAGGCCAGGGCTGGCAGCCTGCCAAGCAACCTTGTCAAATAACTTGTTCATGCATCGAGAGATCGACTTGATCAACCTGTTGGACCCAGCTCGATCTTCTCGTAGAACTTCAGGGCCCAAGGGTGACTCCAGAGCATGCGACGCAGGTCTTGTCTTGCCATCCATGTCAAGCATGGACACGTTTTGCCAGACTCATTGCCGGCGAAAGATCAGGCCGAAAAGGTGTTTCTTTTGTTGATTTTCTTTGAGGGGAATACATGGAATGGACACCTAGCCTAGCAGTACTTAGCAGCCTTAGGATGACCCCTACCCTTGTGGGTACTGTACTCTCCACTGAAATCAGCCAGCGATGGGTGGTCGGCTGATTCTTTGCTCCGCGCTGCTTCTGCGAGCGGAAGCGGAGACGGTGGAGTGGAGCCCCCGACCACCGATCTATGAACACCTCGGCTGGGAGCCCTCAAAAACTGGAAACAGCCCGACTGGTCCCTCAAAAACCTGAGGGATTTGAGACCCAGACCCCTCCATATGAGGGTCCAGGGTTGCGTCTGGGCTAGAGACGAATTGGTCAAGTGTCAAGTCTGCTTCTGCACGTGAACTCGTTGTCAACTTGTTTTGCTTGGAGTTTGGCCATGTGGAATCCCCAAAAAGCGGGTGGGCCATTTATAGGGCACAATGACCGGCCTGGCGCCGCGCGCTTGCCGGGTCCGTTTTTGGGGGTTCCGTTTACGTGGTGCTTGCCGAAGCATCGATCGAGGTCAGAAGTCGCTGTATCCACCAGACGGCACGGTGGATTTGCTGAGTGGAAGCCATTGCGATCTCTCCAAGCGAAGCCTTGGACGGACCTGGCTGGTGGAGTCTCTCGGGCTTCTTTACAAGGGTACAGGTGTGGAGTTGGCGCCAGTCACGAGTTGGCACGTTGAAGAGAAAATCGCAGAGTGACCTGGGACGTCATCTTGGGGCTGTGCGCAGCTGAACTAGAGGGGAGAACACAAAATGAGCTTTGTTCAAGAACTCTGCTCTGACCAGATGGAGGTCTATGTGGATTGCATTACAGTATATAATATTGCAGATTTCGTTTCTGCACGGAGACTGTTCCATGCATAAGATGTGAGCATACAAGGAAAGTCCAAACAATGGCCATGATCACAATGGCTATGGCTATGGCATCGACTACGGCCCGCTGGCTAAACATCTAGACAAGCCAAGAATTCTTAATCCAGTATATACAGCTATTTCCTCACATGCGTGACAACTGGAGTATTTCCTCATCCGTGGATTGGCCAAAATACACTCAGATGTATGATATCTTTTATATTTGACATATGATATACGATATAAATACATACATATTGCATGATCGATGCACCAAAGCAATGGCTGCCCCGTTCTTACGTAACCTATATAGACACAGAGAAATATACACACTACCAGTATGGGGTGGGAGGCCACAAAATTGCCACTTGAGGTTTTACCACTCAAGCTGCCCACATTGCTGGTACTTTGCTCCAGTCTTTCGACAGCTTGGCGCCGCATATCGTGGCAGCGAATCAGTTCATGTGGCTGCCTGCAACTGCATGGAAAAGGAGAGACTTCAGTCGACTTCAGTCAAGGGTCCACTGAAACCTGAGAAGTTAGCTCAGTCCAAGCGTCATGATGCTTGTGATGTTTCAGGACGAATGCACCATGGATACGAATGCAGCTATGAATGTAACATGTGGCCATGTCCATGCTCTTTTTGGGGGGTCATCCACAGTGTCAGAGTTTCTTGTTTTTGCGAACCATTGGAATAAGGACCCCTCGCAATGAAAGGGGTCTGGGGATTTCGTTTGCTTTCCCTCCCGGTCTCCCTATTCTCACACACCCGTGGATTCAACGAGCAATGTAGATAATGTAGACATTCTTTGGTCCAGGAGAACCAGAAGGCCTGCGATGCCATGCAGATCTACAGATACCCCACAGTTCAAGTTTTTCAGGCCTGGACGTGCTCTCGGTCCTGTCGTGCGTCGTAGGGGGTTCATCATGCGCAGCACAGTGATGCGACGCCAGAAGATCCTCCCAGTCCAAATGACACTATCCAGTGAACTGTGACCTGGTTGAAGGATGCACTATCCAGGATCCATCCAGCATCCAAGTCGAAAAGACCACCACATTCGAGTCAGTGGCCCGCCACGACGAAGCAGTTCCGTTGTTCTTCGGCCGTGGCCCCATGGAACGCATCCCCAGAGCACGAGTTGATCATTAAAAACCATCAAAAACCCGTTGGCTGAGTTGTATGATCCATTTTTCAAAAGGACGCCTGTCTGCTTCAGGGAAGGACGAGGCGGTGTTTTCACACACGCATGCCATGGCCAGGCCGGTGAGGAGGGCGCAAAGAAGCTCTTCGAGGTCTCTCATACAGACAAGGACCTCGTGCCACTCGTCCCCCAAAAGCTGAAGAGAGAAAGGTTGGTGAGTCGTATCAGCTCCTTCGTTATGGGGTCACACCCTGGAAGACTAACATGGAACCTGAAACCCCTGGTTGGTAGAGGAAAATCGTCTTCCATGGGACCACTGTCAGGGTCTATGTGAGTTTTCGGGAGTGTACCTGGCTGGACAAGCCTTCACTGCTGAGAATCCTACAAACGATAATGCGTATTACCATTATTATTAATAAGCAAGATGATATCTTTTGATATCTTTTGTATGAATGATAGGTGAGATTTCCTCAACGCCTGCGTTCCCATCTCCTGCTGAATTCCTGGCGTTCCCATCTCCAGCCCGAGGAGCTTCTCAGAGGTCATTCCAGGGTCCAGGCAGGTAGACACAAAAAAACATGTCCCCCGTTGAACATATGTCCTGATGCCAAAAGAAAATGCCCAGTTTGGGTTCCAGCAGTGCGCTCCGAACCTTGCTGAAGCAGCAGGCCATGACTTCAGCTGAACGCCGGACATCGAACCACTGAACCATCGCCGAAGCATCGGTCGAACGTGTTCGAACAGATGAAAGACCTGTTCGCCCCGAAACGACACGAGCTAGTAGCTGCCCCCAAAGGGATGCAACAGGATGCAAAAGAATGCCTACGATCCAAGTGCACAAGGAGCTGGAGTCACGCTAGAGACATTGATTTGGGAATACATGACACCACTGGCTGGATGTGTATAAAAATTTTGCTTTGTTGTCCTCGAGGTCCTCGACTCATGTGTCAGCTTGTTGATCCTCAGAACTCTTAGCGCGCATCCAACTCGGCAAAACCCTATTTGAACACTACCTGGCCCCAAAGTTGTTGGTGTTGGGAGATATGAAAGATATTTATATAGACTTATAGATATTTCACATCCCCAAGCACTAAGCACCGTCCTGTTTTTGCTCCCCCCTTCCTTGTTTGCAGTGGCCCAAAAGGCTGCCCACCAAAATTATGACACGCAGCCCAATTATCACGCGACGCGCAGGATGGCCGGGCCAAATCGGCGGCGCAGCTGTTGGCCTGGCTGGAAGAGCACAAACTTCCAAAACCGCTGCATCCTGAGGCCACGGAGCAAGGCACGGTCACGTTAGCCAGACCGTTGCCGCAACGGATTTCAGGTCATGCGAACGTGGTGTGTTTGGGGTCTTTCAGAGTCGTTCAGTCGAACGAAGGCGTTTTGGTATCGACGGTCAAAGTTTGTAGTTCGACCCACCTTTTTGGGCCAGTTTCCGTGCATGCTTTTGGAGGCGAGTTTGTTGTCTTATCTCTCACAAGGCAGCAGGATTTGTTCACAAGTATTGACACCATCAAGTCCCAGCCACCTTGGACTCTCAAACTCTCCCAAAAACCTTGCTTTCCACACCATAGGGCTCCAACCTTTTCCTTAGAAGGTGGTTATATTATATAGACCCCCCCGAAACCCACCAACCACTGAACCTGAGGATATGGAGCCCAGGGGATGTGTCTCAACCCTCCACCTCCGAGGCGCCGACTTTGCCGCCGCGACCGCTCTGGCACCTGGCGCGCCTCCCGGTCGGCCAGGCCGGTGGTGGAACAGCAGCCGATGGAAACCCAGACAGGAAGCGCCAGAGGAGTATCAGAGGGTGAACTCATCGACATGAGCTCCTAATTCCTAGCCCGCTGTGGGCAGACCATCCAATGAACATCCACCAACCTGTGAATGGTGAATGGAAAAGATTCCTGACTTGGTTAGTTGCCTGTCTCAGGCTGGTCTTGGGAGTATCACGCCGAGGACGAGCGTTGGGCGGAAGCACATCTTGGGCTCATTGCCTTACTGAAGAGCCCCTTGGGTCCAGCTGAGTGGGGGCTTTCTTCGTCGGAAAACAGCGATCGGTCTGAAGTGCCAGTCAAACGGCTTTGAACGGTTGCACTCCTAAAAGGCAACAGATCAAGAATACGGCTGAGATCCTTCTTACATTGCGTGGAAGAACGGATTGCCATGGAAATTGATTGGCGTTGAAAGTTGAAAGGTATATCACTTAATGGTCCAACCTGTTCTTCCTCGTTCGATGGTTCTTTCTGGGGCCTCAAACTCCTTGGGCGAATGAAACCAGTGAGGTAAAACCCGATCTTGATGCGACAGCTGGTTGTGGCATGAACATCTACCCTACACTACTTACAACCTGGAAACCCAAAAAAACCCAGAAACAAAATGGATGTTTCCCCAGTCCCAGCCATTTCCTATGTAAAGGATCTCAAGCAAGCCATCTTGGAACAACCAGAACTGTTTCTGGTCTTCTTTGGTTCCCAGGAATGACCGACGCCAAGATGGCAACCAAGGCTACAACGGTCGCCAACCACCAGCGTCCCTGCTTCGCGTGGCCAGCTTTGTGGCGCAGAATTGCCTGCATGGCTGTGATCGCTATCACTTGCTGGTGGGGTGTGGGATCGAACGTTCGTTCGATGTTTCAGCCAAACGACCTGACGAAACGAGAGACGACTCGAGACGACGTCGTTTCGTTGACCTCCAAACGAACCACCGGAACCACCGGACCGACTTCACCGGACCGGTGGAGACCACCGGAAGGTCGAATGCGTGGCGTGCTGGGCGTTTTTCTCACGGGAAGGACATGAAGTCAGGAGAAACGGGCCACTCCCCTGCAGATTTCACACCTCAACCACTGGGTTGGTCTTCGGAAAACTGGTCTTCCATCGGTCCGTCTGGTTCGGGATCGTTGGCCTGGGGACTGGTCAGGTTTGGGCTGTGGCGATCTGGGTTGGGGGCCCACCCCGTCGCAGGTGGAGCGGCTGCACTCGGCGGACCTTCGTGATGCGACGACGGTGCGTGAGGAAGTCGAGCGCTGGGGGCAACTCTTTGGGAGGTGCGGGACGATGGGACCATGGGACGTTGGGCATGGTGTTGGGGATTGGGGATGGGATTGATATACAGGAAGCACAATGCGATAGGGCAGAAAGAACAAACTGGGAAGAAAAAATGACAGGGGCACTCCGATGGACAAGCAGAAAGAGGCTCTGCACAGAGGTGTTGTTCGGCTCTGTCCCCCGATGGGCTGACTCTGGGTCATCTCGGTGCACCGCGCACCGGCGGCGCCGCACTGCCGGAAGGAGGAAACATCTCTTCTGCAAGGACGAGACCTGTGCAGCGACTTCGTGGAAACTCGTGGGTGTCAGCGAGCTGTCGCAAGATGTTAAAGTCAGCAGTCAGGAACATGTGTATATATATATATATGTAATGTAATGTAATGTAATGCAATGTAATGTAATGTAATGGTATGTCATTGTATGTAATGTAATGTAATGTTATGTAATCTTATGCACTCTTGTGTTATATTATGTTGTGTTGTTTATGCCAGCGGGCTGAGAACCGCGCCAATAGTCGTGCACTTTTTATCAAAGCAATGATCATGTATTTGATGATGTCACACGTTGCGTGAAAGTCAGAACGTTTCATGTTTTACTGTAAATAGCAGCGTTTTCTCATGTTTACTACGTGACAACATTTTATTGCATTGCATGTGTTGATGTTGCCTTTGTGCCTTTAGTTTGCCGAAAGTAGCTTGTTTATATTTTTTTTAAACTGCTACTTCTTCGGGAATATCAATTTTTGCTTGTAGTATCATCCAAGCGTCTTATCGACATTTGTCCGCTTTTTCGTAATGTTTCTCTCATCGAGACTTTCATCATGCGAGTTAGGTGCATCTTCGACCTTGGGGGGTTGGGTGAGAGGCTTAATGACGTACGGTCCGTGATGTCCAACGTCTTCGGCATCTTTACATCATGCATTTTGTTACATCATTCAACTCAATGCATCTTCGTTGTGTTTTTTTTCTTGACTATGTGTTCTGCTATGCACCTTCGTGGCTTTCTTTTCGTGAGAAACTGCGATGGTTTGCTCCTGTCGATGGTTCAAGGCTTTTTCCTTTTGGTGGGCAGCATGGCTGTCCTAAGTGGTTGCGGTGCTGCCTGCCTAGTGTACATCATGTTACTTCGTCGCTCTGTTGAAGCTCTACTTTTTGAAGCCTGTCCCTCCGTCGAAAGACGAGTTGACGTCTTCTTGGGACTGTCGGGGCACTCGAACACTTCCCTAAGCTCAGGTTACAACCGCGGCTTTGTGGAATCATGAAGTGCGTTGCTGGCAAGATAGGCAGTCTTCGCGGCGTTTGAGTGGAGTTGTTGAGGCGGACACTGACGCGGCTTCTTTAAGAAAGTGGAAGGATGAGAATGGAAGCAATATATACCTCCATCTTTTGGGATTGCAAAGGACGCCTGACAAGCCCACTTTTGAAGAGGCGCGTCAGGTGCACCCATACTGCTTGGGTGTGGTTTCCGCAAAAGCTGGAGGTAAACCACCGCCTGAATCCAAGGAACGCATCTTGCGTTGCGAGGCCATGGAGGACATTTCTCTCAAGGCCAACGGTCGGGCCACAAGTGTTAGGCAGTTCGGCCTGGCGCACTTGGCATGCAACCACAGCCAAGGGGAGTTTAATGTTGTCAAGAGACGGAGGCTGTTTCCCACAGCCAACCGTGATTTGAGGTGAACACAGGTTCCACAGATTGTTTTTGAGCTTGCGCGAAATGGCAATTCCCACCTCCATGCACACACTAATGTCGAATGGTGATGTCCACCCCCATATCTTCAAGTGGGAAAACACAAGTCAAGACTTGATGCTTTGTGCAGGAAACCGCCGTTTCAAATATCGTTCGACGCTGACGGAAAAGTGTCAGACAACGATGCTGGGCTAGAGTTTTTTTCACCAAACAGTTTACTGTTGGGGTTCTATCTTAGAAAAAGGAGCTGGCCACACTCACTGGCCGCGCCCCTGAACTCTGTGGCTGGGCTCTGTGTCCAGGCCTTGTCCTCCTCGTCCTCTGTGGCTGGGCTCTGTGGCTGGGCCTTGTCCTCTTCTTGTCCTCCTCTTGTCCTTGTCTTGGCCGCACCCCTGAACTCTGTGGCTGGGCTCTGTGGCCCGGCTGTGTCCCGGCCTTGTCCTCCTCTTGTCCTTGTCTTGCCCGCGCCCCTGAAATCTGTGGCTGGTCTCTGTGGCCTGGCTTACTGGAGAGGAGTGTCGCCGAACAAGCAGCGATGTCAATGCCGACAAAAATTCATTGATGGGGCAGTTTGCTCCCAAGAAATCGATTTTTGACTAATATTGGTCTAAACGTATCGTTTTGAAGCTGTTTGGGGTCTATGCTTGTATATTTTTATGTTTACGTTTCGCTGTAGCGAAATAGCAAAATGTCATTAAATCCTTTAAGAGCAGTTTACATGAATGGATGAATCTGTTTGAACATGTGTAATTTGCTACAGGGAAACGTGCGTGACTTGTTTTTATTATATAAGTCAAAAGTGCCGAAGCGCAGGCTTCAAGACCTTTTTCGATTGAAGGTTGACGACCAAAAAGCGCAAAAACGCAGGCGCAGTTGTCAGCCCGGCGGGTTGTTTCTGTTCTGTTCTGTTCTGTTATGTTGCGTTGTATTATGTGTTGTTATGTTATCTGTTGTTCCCCAAACAGTTTACTGTTGGGGTTCTATCTTAGAAAAAGGAGCTGGCCACACTCACTGGCCGCACCCCTGAACTCCGTGGCTGGGCTCTGTGGCCCGGCTGTGTCCGGGCCTTGTCCTCCTCTTGTCCTTGTCTTGCCCGCGCCCCTGAAATCTGCGGCTGGTCTCTGTGGCCTGGCTTACTGGAGAAGAGTGTGGCCGAACAAATAGCGATGTCGACGCCGACAAAAATCATTGATAAAGCAGTTCCCTCTTGGGGGAAAAGTAGGGCGTACCAAGAAATTTGTCCAAACGAATCGTTTTAAAGCTGTTTGGTCTACGCGGGTATATTGTTTTGTTACGGTATGTTATGGTATGGTATGGTCTGTGTGGTGTGTTACATTCTGGTAAGTTATGGTATGTAATGTCATGTAATTTAGTGTAATGCAATGTAATGTAATGCAATGTAATCTAATGTAAGTATGTATGTATGTATGTATGTATGTATGTGAGCAGTCAGGCGCATGTATATATTGTTATTTATATACACAGATCAAAAAAACATAGAAGTGGAAAACTGCCCCTGGGAAATTGCAAGTCGGCATCTTCTTTTTCACAAACAGGGTGTTTTTAGCTAGCTTCGTGGCTTGGCTGCGCAGTGTAATCATGTTAGCCAAAACCGTTGCAATCTGGCCCTAGACATACTGTTTGAACATTTTGTTTTGAGTTCCGTTTTCACAACGATATCAGAAAATTACCGCTATCCAGAATGATATCTGAACGTTTGCAATGCATCGAACATCTGCAAGGAGATCTGTCGGACTGGCTTGTTGGTAAATGGCACTTGAACCCCCTGACAGGCCTAGCACGGGCCATAGGATAGGCCTATACTCTCATGTGACCCATACATTTCAAGATGGAGAGCTCCGTGAGCTGAGGTCTGGCAACTCTTCCATGTGATGGCCGGATCAGTTGCGGCAGCGGCTTGGTTTTTCGACGCCAAGCGGCGAACCAATCCATGCACCGAACCGGTGATCCTCCACCAGCTGCGGCGGTGGGGGTTCTTAGGTGATCGAAGAATCCGTGTGGCCAAAGGATACATGGCTTTCAAGGATTGAGCTTTCAATCGCCTTCAAACAAATTTCAATCCCTCAGAAGCTGCATGCTCAATGTCATCACTGCAAGTCCTGTATATACTTGTAGAGTGCAAAGGGAGCCGCCTCGATCATTGGTAGATGAAACTGTCTTTCAACTCCTGGTGGATCGTTTCCATTTGATGCCAAGTACTTGGTGTTTGGTGTTTGGGCAATCATCAGAGGCTGTTAGCGGTGCCAAAACATCGCATGGTGGTATTCGCACTCCAAAAGGCCATGAAAGGATTGCGAGTCGATGGGGTGCCAACGCCATCTACTCTGAAAGCACTGTAAACCAAACAGGGTGTTTTTTTCCCACCTGTTTTCGGCAAGGGACGCGCAGAACCCTAAAGCAGGTCAAAAAAGAACCCTAAAGCAGGTCAAAAAAGATTCTTAAAGCGGGTTAAAAAAGAGCCCTAAAGCAGCTCAAAAAAGAAGCCTAAAACGGGTTAAACAAGACTCCTAAAGCAGGTCAAAAAAGACTTCTTAAACGGGTTAAGAAAGAGAACGACAGCAGGTCAAAAACCATCTTAACACTGGTTTAAAACATCCTAAAGCCTAAAGCGGGTTAAAAAGAACCTTAAAGCAGCTCAAAAAGTATCAAAAAACGGGTTATAAAAAGATACCTAAAAAGGGTTAAATAGTAGCCCTAAAGCAGGTCAGCAAAAGAATCCCAAAGCAGGTCAAAAAGAATCCAAACACGGGTAGAAAAAGAGTCCTAAAGCAGGCCAAAAAAGAATCCTAAACCGGGTTCAAAAAGAAGCCTAAAGCAGGTGAAAACATGATCTTACAACGAGTTAAAAAAGAGCCCTAAAGCAGGTCAAACAGAATGCCAAAAAGGCTCAAACATGAATCTTAGAGCAGGTCAAACATGAATCTTAAAACGTATTAAAACAGAATCCTAAAGTAGGTCAAAAAAGAATCCTAAAACGTGTTAAAAACCAATCCTAAAGCAGGTCAAAAAAGACTCCTAAAACGGCGTTAAACATCCTAGAGCAGGTCGAAAAAGCATCCTAAAACGTGTTAAAAAACCAATCCTAAAGCAGGTCGAAAAGGCTCCTAAAACGGGTTTAAAAATCCTAAAGCAGGTCGAAAAGAATCTTAAAACGGGTTAAACAAGAATCCTAAAGCAGGTCAAAAATGAACACCAAAACGGGTTAAACAAACCTTGAAGCAGGTCAAAAAAGAACACCAAAGCAGGTCAAAAAAGAACACTAAAGCAGGTCAAAAAGAACGCTAGAGCAGGTGAAACAGCGATTTCGGAAACAATTTGATGTTTAGGCGTTTTCGGCACTGCTGCTCACTTCGATCGGCTTCTCTTGGCTTTTGCGATGGCAGGGAAGAGATCATCCCCTCTGTGGTGATAGCGAAACTGCCAACTCCGAACATAGTTCAAGAGTTCCGGATTGACAGATCGACTTTTTGCTTTGGTTGCTGTATTCACATGCTTGGGTATCTAAGCTTTCAAGCTCTGCCACGAGCTGTCAGCCAGTTGTGTTCAGCCAGCAAACTGATAACAAAGGTCTGTCAGAAGGTACACCGGAAGGTATGTCAGAAGGTACACCGGACCAATCACACCAAGATCTATCCGGATCGAGCGAAACCTGTAAAAAAAACTGCCCTAGAGAATCTAAACCAGAACGACTAGAACGACACCAACCGTCTATGTACTGATCAAGGGTAAACGTATTCACGCGAAACAAAAACAACAGCAAACGATCCGAAGATGGACATGGCTGACCAGCAATGCGAAGTAACAAGACGAACTAGACGAAAGCTTGGGGGCAAACCATTGTTGAACCAAAATCCTCCACAATGCAATGAACTATGAAGCTATCTTAATGTGCACGAAGTGCAACGTTATCTTAAAGTAAGCAAAGTACGAAGTTATCTTCGAGTGAACGAAAGAAGAAAATCGACGTCATTGCCCCCCACCCCCCTCCCCATGCTTTTCACGAAGCAAGGCAGCAGCAACTCAGCGACAAAAAGAAAAATAAGACACCTCGCACGACGCCCTCGTGGGATCCATACCAAAAACAACCCTAAAGCAGGTCAAAAAAGAACCCTAAAGCAGGTTTTAAACAACACAAAAACAGGTTAAAAAGATACCTAAAACAGGTCAAAAAAGACACCTAAAACAGGTAAATCAAACACAAAAACAGGTCAACAAGAACCCTAAAGCAGATCAAACAAGAATCGTAAAGATAGTTTAAAAAGAGCACCCAAAAAACATTCAAAATCATAAACCATGTTAAACACGGACCCTAAAGCAGGTCAAAAAAGAACACCAAAACGTGTTAAAAACAGAACCCTAACGCAGGGCAAAAAAGAACTCTAAAGCAGGTGAAAAAAACTTTAACGCAGGTCAAAAAGAACACAGAACAGGGTTAACAAAAAGAACCCTAAAGCAAGTCAAAAAAGAACACTAAAGCAGGTCAAAAAAGACTCCTAAAGCCTCCCTAAGGAACCCTAAAAACGGTTAAAACAACACTAAAGCATATCAACAAAGAACCCCAAAACAGGTAAACAAAACAACAACTAAAAGGGATAAAACCCTAAAATATTCTAAAGCAGGTCAAAAAAGACCACTAAAGCGGGTCAAACAAGAATACTAAAACGGGTTTTAAAAAGGAGCCTTGAAGCAGTTCAAAAAAGAACACTAAAACAGGTTAAAATAAAGAACTCTCACCAAACAGTCTAAAATAGAATCCGTAAACGGGTTTGGAACAAAATCCACGCCCAACTGTCTTTGGGAGCCGTCCAAGGCCCAGTTTGGGCTGCGCGTGAACTCGGGTGGCGCCACGGTGGCAGAGGCGGAGGGTCAATGCTGGGGAGGGGTGTTTCACATGAAAACCCCCAAGGCACAGGGGGTCAATGCTGGTAGGAATGGCAAAGTAGATGAAAGCACAAGTAGCATGTTCCCCTCAACTGGTGAGTAAGTGTGAATTAATCCTCCTAAGAGCAAGCCTTGCCAGACTCTGAGATTCATTGCGCGTTTATCGTGGAACACTTTGAACATGAGCATGGCTGTGAGCACGACTCTTTTCTGAACAAGAATCTCTGGCTTTGGGACCGCAACCCCGACTGCACCGGGATGCGAGGCCATGGACTTCTTCCGGCAAACCGTGGACCACTTCCTCTTCTGCGGCCCTTGCCGGGAGCATTTCCTGAACGCCTACGAGGGCCGGACGGGGAAGCCAAACCGGGCGAGATTCAAGGTCCTTTTTGGGGTACTAGGCAAATACGGAACAACTATGTTTCTATGACATAGAAATGTATGTTGTGAATTTATGCAGAGATCATTTGTCATTTGAACTTCATGATGGCAAGGCTAAGATTAGGAAATGGCTGAAAGCCGGGATAGGACGTGCATCGGACAGGCATTGATGGGTTAGACCCTGTCGGAACTGCCGTCTGCCCATCCCGCTGGGACACCTCTCCACCTCTCTGTCTCGCAGGCTGTTCTTATGGTCGCTGCGAAGTGCTTGCATCCAAGCAGGACCAGGTGGGGTTGGGGCTCAGGTGGCAGGATACTCACCTCAAGTCACTGATGGCTGGTTGACTAACAGCGGCACTGAGACTTGCAGCTGATCGAAGCTTCTTAGATGGAGACTCCCCAGGGTCTTCCTCCGGGTAGGGGTGTCATGGGCGCTGCCATGTGCCCGTTCACGGGCAGGCACCTTCAGGTTGCACCTCCTGTCGACATGCGAAACGTACGGCCGGGACTCTTGAGTCCAGCCCCTCATGCGGTCGAATGCGGTCGGGGAACGATTAACATGTCGTGGGTGGCCCAGATGGACCTGGATGAGAGACGCGGGTCGAACCGTAGGGAACCGGAGGGGCGAAAAGAGGGATCTGTGGAGTCCTTGTGGGGTTGTTCTGTTTACTTGCAATTAGGACTTAAACATGTCAGGACACAGAACGTTTGATGTTGCAGCTGTGTGGCCTGAGCACAGTGATCAGAAACCGGGGTAGTCCGGTGTGCAACTGCGGGGGCCGCCCAGAATTTTCGATCTCCCGCCCGCCCTTGCCCGATCGAAACTTTGGGCATGGGGGTCCTTTTGTCAGCGCTTGGCTGATGGGGTTTGTCAGCGCGTGCGGCTGATGTTGGCTATGTAGGTTGTAGCCAGGTGGTCAGTGTAAAGTATTTACAGGCTGGCCGACCTTTCCACCACCTCTTAAAAGAAAAAAGGGGGAGAAGTTGAGTGCAGGGCTCGTGCGAGGTTCTTTTCTGTGTGTTCAGGGTTGGACTCTGTAAGATCCCATCAATGCTTGTCTCAAGGATCTTGGGACAGCAGGAGTTTGTGACGTGAAAGGAGGATTTGTTTGTCCGATCATGATAGCTTATCCTAAGTTCTCCTAGGTGGGTGATGCCACATCCTCCTTTGGCTTCGAGGCCAAACGCTTGGTGCTTTGGCTTTGGCGCTTGCACAACGGGGTTTCCTTGCGGGTCTTGCGCGAGCATCCACCCAAAGAGGCACCGGCGGTGCGCGTCGTGTCTGTGACCGAGGGCGGTCCAGGAAGATTCCACAAAACGTTTGCATGGGATGATCAAGTTCATTTGGGTGTGTATTTTAACAGGGAGACCACCAACCACTGGTTTGTGGTCTCTTCTCCTTCTTCCAGCGGCCAAACTGGGAGGTCTCCCTAGTTTGATGCACACCAAACTCTCGAGTTTTGGTCGAGGTTCTTCGACTTTGACATGTTCGGTTTGGCTGGGCCGGGCCACACCGGCCAAGGCTTGTTTCTCCATGGAACTTCGGAAGGAGTGTGCAATGTGACCTGATACCTTGTGATGCATACCGTGGGTGGGTCAAGACCGGCACACCCTGTTTTGTTCCAACCGAGGATGAACAGAATAGACGACATATCCAGACGGGTGGTCAACCTACCAGGGTCGTTCTAGGGACCTGGGTGCCATGACCGCCACAGGCCACCCTATGGCGGGGGTGTTATGGCGTTGCTTTGGAAGGGACTGATGAGACGGAATCACACCGATCTTCATCGGCGATCCGTAGGCATTTTCGCCATCTCCAACCGGCCCAGCTGCGAGACAAGTCGCGGCCATGAACAGACATTCTTTGGGTGAACTGACCCAAGTTGTTATGATGTTTTTGTGCTCAGTTGCATGGTTTCTGTTTATAGCAGCCTGGTTTGAACTCAGCAACTGAAGCATTTGCCTGAATTGGCCGTCCAAGCCCAGGCGGTGGACCGGCGCTGGCCCACGTACCGCGATTGCCCAGGCCGCGGTAACCGCGGTTCGCACGCCGTAGGGTTCTTTTCGATGTTTTTTTGCGGACGCAGATTCTGCGGCGAACGGCTTTTGGATGGGTTTTTGGTGGGGGGAGTTCGGTGATTGTTCGGTTCTTAATGGTTTTTCTGGAGGTGGTTCATCCACTAGGTCACTAGGTGAGACCAGGTGCCAGGATCCGGGGGTCTCACCAGGAGCCAGGTGAGAGATGGCCCGATGGCCCCTTTCGAGTGGTCATACCCGATTTGCTGGTGTGTTGCTGGTAACAGCCACAAAGAGGAAAGCACCTTCCTTGCACAGCACCGGTAATATCAGATTGATGTATATAACAATAACGTACAATATTTAGTAATATATTATCTCCATTATCGTACTTCTGAATGTATATGTGCTGTTTGCAGTCAAGTTCTCGTGGACTTGTCCCAGAAACGTTCCGACACCCGCCAGGCTGTTGGAATCCCAGAGTTGTCACGGGCGAGGTCATTGAGGAGGTGCGCGCGAGGTCAGACGGCAGTAGAATCAGCTTCGCAGCACGCAGATAGAGTTCACCAAGTCCTGACGAATCACAGCTAAGCTTGTATTGGACGATACATGCGATAGGGTCTTCCAACCACCGAAACAGAGGCAAGTCTTGGATGCGACTAGTACTGCATCCTATTTGTGAGAGACACACTAGATGCACTTCCTTGTTTCACGGGGCTCTCACATTTAGCTTGCTAACCTCATCCATGGAAAGACCCGTGCTTGATTCGAGGATATAGATCGATCATTTCATTTGTCATTGCCGTCCACTTGCCCTCAACTTTCTCAGCCGAAGCCCAACAAAAACGGTGGCCCCGATGGAGGAGTCAACAGAAAATGACACCAATTGCGAGTGATGAATCTGCTTCTTGTTACTACTAGTAAGGCACTTGTTACTAGTAGTGAGGCACTTGTTCCTAGTAGCGAGGCACTTGTTCCTA